TCATCTCACTCTCTCTATCCTCTCTACCCACCCCACCCCTTTATTCTAACGTCGATACTCTCGCAAAGTCGCCTTCCCACCCCAACAAGGCGGCACATTTGCTACGCACAATGGCATTTGTTGGTGGTTATTGGAATTTGTTGGTGGTTTTTTTGATTTAATTTGCTGTGAATGGTTTGTTGGTAGGTGATTTAGGCGGCACATTTGCTACGCGCAATGGCATTTGTTGGTGGTTATTGGAATTTGTTGGTGGTTTTTTTGATTTAATTTGCTGTGAATGGTTCGTTGGTAGGTGATTTTCTGATCAGATATGCTACTTAGTTGGAATTTTGAGGTAGTTGTTAGTGTTCGGACAAAATCTACAAGTGTATGGGATCGTTGACAAATAATAATATGAGTTGAGTGATCGTCCCACGATGAATAATTATTAACTATAGATTACTAGTTTGTATCAAATTCGATGTTTTTAATACAAAATAGTTGATTTATTTGTATTTATTCCAACTTAAGATACGAGTATAAAGAATTGGTTTTTATCAAATAATGAAATGAATACATTAGATTTCAGAATTCACTCATTGACTTCTATTTCTTTTTCTCACATAATGTAATTTAGTGATTTTCACGTGTTCGTGACAATCGATAATTCATTCATATCTAATATTCTTTTTCAAGATATATTAAACATATCCTAAGCACGATACGATCTTATTCGTAGTCCGAATTCATATGCAAAACAAGCATTCAATCATCACATAATTATCACATAGTTGTATATGCTATAAATATTATTCTTAATACGTATTGTCCATGTCATATATGCAGTATTTTACTTATTGTGAGTTTCATAACACTACAATAAAACAACATATCGTCTAAATAGTGCGCAAACATTCAAACATTGAAATATGCATGCACAATTGATCGAGAAACTAATATTTGAATTAAAAATAGCAATCAATAGGTTTCATCATTCATTAAATGCAAAAGAATTTTAGCCTGACATTATTGTATTCAAATTATACAAAACATAGTGAAAAGACATCATCCGTATGAAATAACTAGAAGAAGATCTTGAAAACTCAATTTCTTTGACAAATTACTTCAATTCGAGCCTTGAATTTTCACTTTTTGTAGTAAAACTCTTCTACGCTGCTTGCTAACCTCTGTTCAATTATAAAAACAAGGTCTCTTGTGTTTTGGACGACCATTAGGTTATATAAAATGACAAGATCCCATATCAAAACTTGTCAACATAATTTTCTCCCCGAATTTCTTCCATGCGCGCGTGGTTTAGTGTGAGGCGTGTGTGTGGAAGACTCAGTTGGGCTTCAAGCAGCATGGGTGACGGGCCAGGCGTGCACTTGGACCTACTGAGCCATGCACACGCCTGGAATGTGACTTCGTGGCCAATTTACAAATTGGTCCCTGAAGTTTCCTCCCCATGCATTTTGGTCATTTTTCATTTTTTTCCCAGCTCGTTTTCCTCTTTTCTCAACCAATTGAATCATAATATCATCCAATCATTACTTTGAAGTCTGTATAAACTTTTGAGTGTTTACATTCGGGTCCCTGAACTTTGTATTTCTTAACTTTTTGCTCCTTTCACGTTTTCATTGAGTTTTGCTTGAGAAACACAGTTTACATCGAATTAAGCCATATTTTATTAAAATAACCAACAATTATCATAGTTTAATGACTGAAATAAGTATACACAATACACTTATCATTTGGTATTTTACAAATGGTGGTGGTAGTGCTAGTGATGATGTGATGGTGAGGTGGTAGTGATGGCAATGGTGGAGGTTGTGGAGTTGGTGGTGATGGTGTAGTTGGTGGTGGTGTTGCCTGTTGTGAGGTGGTGTGGAGTTCAGTTGGTGTCTAAAGTGGAGCAGGTGAGATTTTGAGTGACAGTAACCAATAAATTGATTAATTTGTAATCAATAAATAATGTGACCAAAAAAAAAGTGAAATTGCGATTAAATTTGTAATTAGGACACAATTTGTTATGCCTTTGTTTGACCCTCTTTATTTTCAAAATACATTTTTTCTCTTCTTTTCAACTATACATTTTTTAATAAAATAATATTACACGTAAATTCAAAAAATTTCTTACTTTTCAACCACACATTCTTCATTAATCTACTCTTTCAAAATACATTCTGCTCAAACAGACCAATAGTTTNTTTTTAATAAAATAATATTACATGCGAATTCAAAAATTTTCCCTCTTTTAATCACACATTTTCCATCAATCCCCTATTTCAAAATGAATTCTTACAGTAAAATGGGGATTCAAACATGATTTAAGTTGTGACCAATTAAATTGATAATTTGTAATTGATAAATAATTTGTGACCAACTAATTTGATAATTTATGATTGTGAAATAAGTTGTGACTTATAAAATTTCTGATTAGTGATCGAGAAACAATATGCGACATATTAATTTGATAATTTATGATCGATAAATAAATTGTGACAAGTAAAATTTGTAATTTGTGATCGAGAAATAATGCATGAACAATTAATTTGATAATTTGTGATAGATAAATAAGTTGCAACGTATGAAATTTGAGATTTGTGACCATCACAATTTTTTTATTATTATGACTAATAAATATTTGTGATCATAAATTGTATAGTATTGTGACATTAAGGCTCTGTTTGGTACACATTATTTTTTTCATTCTCATTCTTCTACTCATTTTCAACCACAAAATTTTTCAATAAAATAATATTTACCATCACATCAATAACTTTTCCTTCATTTTTANAAAAAAAAAAAAGTGAAATTGCGATTAAATTTGTAATTAGGACTCAATTTGTTATGCCTTTGTTTGACCCTCTTTATTTTCAAAATACATTTATTCTCTTCTTTTCACCTATACATTTTTTAATAAAATAATATTATATGCGAATTCAAAAATTTTCCCTCTTTTAATCACACATTTTCCATCAATCCCCTATTTCAAAATGAATTCTTACAGTAAAATGGGGGTTCAAACATGATTTAAGTTGTGACCAATTAAATTGATAATTTGTAATTGATAAATAATTTGTGACCAACTAATTTGATAATTTGTGATTGTGAAATAAGTTGTGACTTATAAAATTTCTGATTAGTGATCGAGAAACAATATGCGACATATTAATTTGATAATTTATGATCGATAAATAAATTGTGACATGTAAAATTTGTAATTTGTGATCGAGAAATAATGCATGAACAATTAATTTGATAATTTGTGATAGATAAATAAGTTGCAACGTATGAAATTTGAGATTTGTGACATCACAATTTTTTTTTTTTTATTATGACTAATAAATATTTGTGATCATAAATTGTATAGTATTGTGACATTAATATATTTAATTGTCTATTTTAATTAATAAAATTTAATCATGACATGATTTTTTGAAATTTTAAATAATTTTGAAATTGTATATGTGTATTATTCCCTTACATTAATTCTTTAATTTATTGACCCACGAGGGTTGGGGATTTACTAATCCTATGAGATTAGGATCATTAGAATGTTATATAGCCCTTGTTTATTTAGATAAAAATTTACTAAAAATTTTAAATCAAAGTCACTAATTAATTCTAATCATACATTTAATAGGACTCACAACTTTAACTACACATTTCATCAACTTTATCAAAATTCATTAAAATTTTGATTTTAATCTACACAAAAACTAAACAATTTTAAGTTTAAAAATTCATGGACTTGTCATATTATCCTTACAAGCGTGCGCGGGCGCGCGCGCGAGAGAGAGAGAGAGAGAGAGAGAGAGAGAGAGAGAGAGAGAGAGAGAGAGCATATGTGCGCTGCCAGCACTGGTTGGCCACCAGGATAGTTGAAATTCCATTCTTGTTCTCTTCGTAAGAAATTCTGCTAGAAGCTGAACACTTAAATAGATGCGATGACAAAAAAGATGGGATATCTTACAATCACATTATTCAGAAATCAACAGGTATTCCAGCTAAACACAGATGATTCGAGTTTTGATTATTGAAAGCCGTTATGATTTCAATATGCATGCTTAAGTTTACTGATTCCCATTTCGGAGACAGGAATCTCCGAGAATAGTAAAGTTTTGAGAAGAGAAGACTGGGAAATCAAGATTCACATTGTCTGATGACACCAGTAAGGGATGGTGCGAGAGGTTGAAGATAAACAAGAAAGTGGAGAACAACCACAAGTTTAATTTCACTATTTGTAATTGGTGTTTGATTCTCTCTCTTTTTTCTTTTTCTTTTTTTCTCTCTTTTTTTTTTTTAAAAAAAAAAACGCTCATTCTTCAATAAAATAATATTATACACAATCTCAAAACTTTTTCTTCATTTTTAACTACATTTTTTTCATCAATCTACTATTTTAATATATGTTGACTCCAAAAATGTTGCCAACAGATGCCGAATCCACTCGTGTACACGNTACTATTTCAAAATGCATTCTAAAAAAAAAAAAAAAGAGCTCAAACATACCTCAATAAAATAAAACTCTAAAAATGCCATAACTTATGAATCGTCCTAGCCCTCGTTTGACCTCCATTATTTGCCATTATTTGATATTATAATTTGTGGAATAATATTTTTTTTAGAAGAATGTAGGTTAAAAAAAGAAGAAATTAATTTGAATTTACGTGTAATATTATTTTATTGGATAATGTGTGATTCATAGAAAGATAGAGAAAAATGAATTATAATTTTAATAGGATCAAAATGAGAACTAAATAAATAGGAGACCACACTATGGAAACGTTAAAACAAGAAGCACAAATAGCATACATAATCGACACACAATCAAGCTGCCTACACAACTTCAGTTTGCAAATAAACATAAACATAAATAATAACAGAAAACCTATATTTTCTAGTGGTGACGGCTAGGTATTCTCTCCTTGATCTTCTCCATCGTGCTCCGGTGCAGTAGTAGTCGATGTTGCACTGCCGACCGTAGTGGTGGCGCTGTGTGCGGCTTCATCCTTGTCTCAGTGCTTCCCACCCGTCAACTTCTTCTTTATTTTCTCTTTCAGTCCCTTCTTCTTCCTCCTCCCACCTTGCTCGTCGTCCTCCGACTACATTTTACACAAGAAGATAAATCAAAAACTAAAAAGAAAAATATACAATAAACTTCAAATGCATTCCCTTTATCGAGAATCCTGAGAACTGGAATCACCCCCTTCTCATATTTCAATTGAATATCACAAATTTCATTCCAACCTCCAAAGAAAAACATTTGGTACAATGTAAAGTAGGTAGAACTAAACAGTAAATTAATAAGAAGAAAAAGGTAGACAGTAAAAAATTATATACTAATTAATGGCAAGATCTTGAAACATTAATATCAAAGTTAAACTCACCGAACTAGAGCTAGAACTGCCGGAACGATGAAGCTGCTCCTGCAGCTGCTGCTGCTGGTGGCGGTGGTGATGCTGCTGTTCACATGTCTGGCCACCCATGCCGGCCTCTCCGAGCCCAGTTCTAACATGAAAAGCATGCTGCTCTTCATATTTATGGGCCATGCCAACCCCGCCGACCCCAGTACCATGAACAACACCGGCAGCGGCGGTGGCAGCTCCAGTATACTCAAGCCCAGTTCCGCCACCGGCAGTGGTAGCGACAGCAGTAAGATGCACAGGATTGCCGTACTCATCGCTTAGTTGAACAGGTTTCCCATATTGATCTGCAAGCTGAATTGGATTGCCATGTTTATCACGTATATCAGCCATCTCAAAGGATAAAACAGAGTTGAAACGATGAATATACGAGTAAGGAGTTACTGTTTGGGGGCTCTTAAAATAAGGAAAAACCAAAGACGGTAGAGAAGAAGCATTTTCTGCATGTAATTAGGGTTCTTACACGTGTTGCGAAGATGGCAAGATATATTGCCACGTAAGAATAGTGACCCCATCGCTTTTCACCATTTTTAAGGATTGGGACGAGGCCAAAGGCATGTTTGCTTACCTAATTAAGTTGTGGTTCATAAGAAGTGACAAATCACTTGGCAAAACCGTCGGTAATCGATTTTCGTTCATCACTATCACCTACTTTAAAAATTATTTCTTATTTTTCATAAGAAATTGTGGTGAACAGTGCTAAATCGTATTGATATGAACGTTGATTGTGTATCTCGATTAATTTGATCGTTTTGAGGATTCCTATACGAAGTTTTCATAGACATGTATTCAAGTATTCATTGACCATTTTGTCCAAGAAGAGAATTTATTCTAATACTATGTAGTTTTCTTGAATATCATTTCATTAATTTTCAAATTGCTCAATACTTGTTGGTTTTATGGTGGCAATGACGATTTGGAGTGATAGTGTAATTTATCAGTTAATTTTTAGGAGGAATAAAATAGGATCTGACTAAATATGCGATTCATAAATAGATAGTATCTGTAAATATATGGTTAAAATTAATGTTTAATTTTAACTGAATAAAAAAGCAACCTTTAAATAATTTTTAATTTTAGATGAAGGGAGACTAGCTTTTATCAAACCACATGCATTTAAAACCAGAACCGTGCTGCACTGCCAGGCTTTACAGGCCTGGCAGTGCAAATGTGAGGTTGCGGGGGGAGGGAGGGGGGTGTTTAAACATTTTGGGGGGGAGGGTCTAATGTTGGGACCCACCTCATGTGAGAGTTTTTGCTCTACCAGGCCTGGTAGAGCAGGTTAATTCTTAAAACTATGCTCATGTGAGCTAGCAAGGCACTATCCCACTTAGCTCTGTTTCGCTTTCATTAAAAAGAATTTTTCGAGGAAAATGAGTTTTGAAATCTTGATTTTTTGAAAAATATGTGGTTAAAAAGTAAAATTTTTTTTTTTTTGAATTTACGTTTAAAATATTTTATTGGGTGAATGCGATTAAAAATGAGTTTAAGAAAAAAAAAAGAATTTTAATTTAATGAATGACAAATAGGTGCTTAAATCTTAATTGTCTTCATAATGAAGATATTATAGTTTTTTCTTCGATTCGACAGTTTGACATTGGTTGGTTCGCTAAATTCTGATCTGAAATTTATAATTGTGCGCCATGCTAAATGAAATGTTTCAGACACATCGTGAGTTACATAACTTTACTGATGAAAACCCTACACACAACAGTCGTACCAAACAGACTCTAAATCTGGTTTGAGAATATAAAAAAAAAACTATAAATCTGATAAATAATTCTCGTACCAATACTTGATCAAGATGAAGATGGTAGTACGAAAGGCACAAAACGGAAAGAAAAACACGAGCAAGGGATATTTGAGAAGTGAATTTCTTACTCTCCAAAAGGGTGCTGACAATTGCAAAAGGAAAAAAGAAAAAGAAAAGAGTGCTACAATTAAAATATAACAAAAAAGAGAGATCAAAGTCAAGTTACTCACTCGGAAGAAGAAAGAGCACCCGAATCAAGATTTAAGGAAATCGAGACTATTTGAGGTCTGCAGGTCTAATCCCACGATAAAAGAGCTATGTTTCCAAACAGATTTGTCCGTCAGTTAA